TATCCTTGTGTGTTGACATACTTTCCCTCACTTTTTTTAATGCTAAAGAAAACTTTTATTTTAAAATAATTTAAAACAAGTTTTAAGAATAATACAAATAACATTCTTTTCCCTAAATTACTTAAATGTCCTAAGGAGGCCTCCATAACCCCCAATACTTTAGTGCAAGAGTCAGAGAACTATGACCCACAATGCCAAATCTGGACCACTGCCAGTTTTTATATCATCCATGTGTGGCACTACAGGTTAAGCACTGGCCCGCAAGTTCGGTTTCAACTGCAGTGTAGGCAGTTCAAACTCACCAGCCACTCCTCGGAAACCCTACATTTGTTAAATGCCATCAAGTCGCTTCTGACTCAAAGTGACCCTGTGTAGGGTTTCCAAGGAGTAGCTGGTGGGTTGGAACTGTCAGCCTTGTGGTTCGCAATCCAGTGCTTGATGCTACAGCGCCACACCAGGAAACCCTATAAAGGATCACTGAAAGTGCTGAACCAACTCAACTTATACCACTAACAGCAACATGAACTTACGCTATTTATGTTTTTGAAGTTAGAAATTTTAAAAACACTTCATGATATTTGTTGTTGTAAGGTGCTGTACAGTCAGTTCCAAATCATAGCAACCTTGTGCAGAACAGAATAAAACACTGCCTAATCCAGCACCATCCTCACAATTGTTACGCTTGAGCCCGCTGCTGCTGCCACTATACCAATCCATCTCTTTTTCGCTAACCCTCCACTTTACCAAGCACGATGGTCTTCTCCAGGGACCGATCATTCCTGGTAATGTCTGAAGTATGAGAGACGAAGTCTCACCATCGTCTCACCATCTGGATTCTAAGGAACATTCTGGCTCTACTTCTTCCAAGACAGATTTGTTTGTTCTTTTGGCAATCCATGGTACTTTTAATATTCTTCTCCAACATCATTAACTCAAAGCAATCAGTTCTTCTATGGTCTTCCTTATTCACTGTCCAACTTTCACACACATGAGGCTATTGAAAATACGATGGCTTGGGTTAGTCCTCAAACTATCTTTGCTACTGGACACTTTAAAGAGGTTTTGTGCAGTCAGTTAGGCTAATGATTTCTTGGTTGCTGCTTCCATGAGTGTTGTTTGTGGATCCAAGAAACTGATGTCTTTTCTCCATTTATCATGATGCTATTTTATTGGTCCAGTTGTAAGGATTTGTTTACTTTACATTGAGGTGAAATCCATACTGAAGAATTTGATCTTCATCAATATCTTAAGTCCTCTTCACTAACAGTAAGCAAGGTTGTCATTTGCATATCAGATTGTTAATGAGTCTCCCTCCAATCCTGTCACATTCTTCTTTATGTAACCCAGCTTCTCAGATGTTTTGCTCAATAAGTATGGTGAAAGAACAGAATCATGGCGTACACCTTTTCTGTTTGAACGACTGCTTCTAGTACATGTTCCTAATGAAAACAATGAAATGTTCTGGAATACCCATTCTCCACAATGTTACCCATAGTTTGTCATGATCCACACAGTCAAAAGCCTTTGCATAGTTAATAAAGCACAGGTAAAAATCTTTCTGGTATTCTCTACTTTCAGCTAAGATTTACCTGACGTCAGCAATGGTATCCCTAGTTCCAAGTCCTCATGTGAATTCGGCTTGAGTTTCTGGCAGCTCCCTGTTGATGTACTCTTGTAACTGTTTTTGAATTGTATTCAGTAAAATTTTACTTGCATGCAATATTGATATTATTTGATGATTTCCATATGCCATTGGGTCACCTCTCTTTTGGAATGGACAAAATATGAATCTTTTCCAATCAGTTGGCCCGGTAGCTGGCTTCTAAATTTCTTGACATAGATGAGTAAATGCCTCCAGTGCTTCATCGGTGTGTTGAAAGATTTCAATTTGACTTGTAAATTCCTGGAGCCTTATTTCTCACCAATGACTTCAGTGTAGCCTGGATGTCTTCCTTTAGTACCATTAGTTTTTGATCATCATATCGGAAAACGTATCATATAAAATTCAACAATATTGGTGCCTATAAACAAAACATTAGTGGAATACACCCGCGTTCATTTATATTGTCTATGGTTCTTTTAAGGAGCCCTGGAAATACTGTAGGATAAAAACTGGACTGTTAATCACAAGACTGGCCATGGAAATCCACCAGTTACTCCTTGGAAAGGAGATGAGGCTGTCTCCTCTTGTAAAGATTTACCAACTCAGAAACCTTATACAGGTCATGAGTAGGAATCGACTTGATGGCAGCGGGTGGTTTATGTTTCCTTTAGAAGAGTTCCTGGGTAGCACAAACGTTAACTGTTCAACTACTGACTGAAATGGAGGTGGTTCAGACTCATCCAGAAGCATTTTCCGGATCTACTTCCATGAAGTCACACTCTTGAAAACCCTTTGAAGCAGTTTTACTTTGCACAAATGGGGTCTCCATGGATTAAAACAGACCCCACGATGACTGTTATCCACAATGCTATAGGACTTTGTGGCTTCATCAGCATTTGTCTTTGAATGGAAGTTAACTGTACTACTGAGGCTTTCTGCTCCCGTAAAGATTTACAACCCCAGAAACCCTGTACAGGGTCTTCGCTATGAGTCGGAACCGACTCCACGTCACATAACAACAACAGTACCCTCACTGTTTATCTCCCCAAGCCCAATTTAAGAACAGACTTAGTTTTGTTCGCTTAGAACAAAGCAATACATGTTTAATGAACGACGACATTAAGGCATAGAGTAATTAGACGACTTGTCCAGTTGCCAAAGCCACTTAATGACATTCGGTGTCAGCCGTTACTGTAGCTTCTCGTTATCATGCAGAGTCCCAAAAGAAAACTAGATCAAGACGAAGGGCTGAAGGGGACCCAGGCAAAAAAGAGGGTGAGAAAGGGAACTAGACAAAGCATGACCCTGCTGAAGGGATTTCACTAATGGAAGATATCGAGGGACTTCCAGGATGGGGGAGGGGAGGGGCTTTCTGAATTGGGCCCTTTTCTGTTCCTGGCCTCAATTTTCCCATCTGTAATGAAAGGAGGGCAGGCAGCATGCATTGTGTCTTTCAAATCTGACCGTTTTCAATTTCCCATCCCACCCAGAGGAACCACGCCTTGCGGCGGACGGCGCTGTCTCACCTCTAGTCTGTTCATACAGGAGCCCCAGCCTCCGAAGACCGCGCTTCCGCTCCACGCCGCGCCGACGCCTGCGCCCGCCGCCAGGAAGGACCCTGCAGACGCCGCGGTCGCGTTTCTGAACTGGAGGACAACCCTCCGCCTGAGGATCGACTCGTCGGAGTGTTAGCCGTGGCGATAGGAACCGGCGAGAGGAGTCGTGGGTCTCCGAACTAAGGCGCGGGCTGTCCCAAAGAGTATGGCCAGAGGAGGCTTGAATTTGATCAGGCGTTTCGGAGACACTCTGAAAAGGGGGCCTTCGGGAAGATCACGTGGGCAGGCTGTTGGGACAGTTGCTGGGCAACCACAGCTACTGGGTGTGATTTGCACTGAGCCACCCTCCTGTCCCGGTGTTTCAAGGGATACCCCAAAAGAGCAAGGGAACCGAGACCCGGACTGCTGGGGTGAAGGTCCGGGTGTCTTAATTAGGAGGTGGAAGGGAAGGGTTAGTTGTTCTATCTGTTCAACATCTACAGAGGATTTAGAACTAACTGAAGCCAGTATGCCTGACTTCGGTTCCGGACTTGGCCCATCCCAGCCCCTTACTGGCGTTGTGGTTGGGGGTGGCTGTGGGTTGAATGCAAATCTCCTGTTTCCCTGTCCTGAGATTGTTGATGACTCTCCCACAAAGTCTAACCCACTAGGAGGTTCAGAGAGGTCTTAGAGCAAAAACAAAACAAAAAAGTCAAAGATTAGAACTCTTAGGTAGGCCTGTTGTTGTTAAGTGCTGTGGAGTTGATTCCGACCCATAGCGACCCTGTATAGGGTTTCCAAGGAGCAGTAGGCCTGTAGCAAGAGTTTATCGACCAGTTTCCGATATGTGTAGGCTGAAGAAGTCTAGTGGTAGAACTAAAGCGATTGCCGAAGTACATAGGGGCCTGTTCTCCAACCATTGGCTAGACAGAGGAATCTGGGAATAGGAATCATTGAGCTCCTTCCCCTGCCGCCTCTACTTGATTTCCTGCTCAGTCAGTGCATCTGGTTTGGGTGAAAAGTATCCTTCCCCATTAAAGGCATTTAATACAAGATGAAAATTTCTCCTAGGGCTCTGGAGTAGCTGACAATTGTTCAGCTTTAATGTGAGGTCCTTTATCCCAACAATTAGCTATAGAATAAAGGGACTGACTTTTGAGACCCAAGTATCCAAAATGATTCATAGAGGCAGAAAGCAAAATTAACACAGGGATCAAAACTGAGAGTCAGGGCTCCCTAGTCTCTTTTTCTTTTCTTTTTAAAAGATGTTTGTTGTGAATTATGTGATAGCTTACATGGGAGAACATTAGCTTTACATTCATCCTATCATATATAGTTTTATTGCCACAGTTACAATCAATCCCTTCTATGCATCATCAACCAATCAAAGGATATACTCTGCAAGCCTGTGCCACCCCCCCACCCCCCCATCAGCACACAGCCCCTCTCCCTCTCTGGGTCTAGAGTCCTCAGCCGCTCCTTTTGTCCACGTCATTGTCTCTGCCTCTGCCTCCATCTATGGCGTCACTGCTTCTCTGGGTAGGGTCCCACTCTCTGCTCTTCTCGCTTGATGGTTCCAGGGACCTCCGCTCCTGGATTGCAAAGTCAATCACTCCCCTCCTTTTGCTACAAAACGTCCACCTTTACCTTATTCTCTTTTTCATGACTATAGGTCTTGTGCAAATTCCCACTGTGCAACTGCTCTCCGCTAAAGTAAAAGCCTTGATTTTTGTACCCTCTTCTCAAGATAAATGAAAGATCCCCCTAGAGACCTGGAGGTCAAAAAATCCAGAGGCTCCCTCTTCCCCCTTATATTGACCCTCTACTGATGTCTACTCCCTTTGCCTTCTTAGACACAAACCATGGAAAAGAATGACATCATCAACTTCCAGGCTTTGGAGAAAGAGCTGCAGGCTGCACTCACTGCAGATGAGAAGTACAAGCGAGAGAATGCTGCCAAGTTACGTGCAGTGGAGCAGAGGGTGGCTTCTTATGAGGAGTTCAGGTTGGCTTACTACCATTTCCCTGTTACTGTGAACTACAGTGGATGAAAGCAGAGGTGGGGTCCGACAAAGCTGGGCTTCACTTCCGGCCTCATCCCATCTCCCCCCTCCCCATTTAACTGTGTGATCTTCTGCATGCTATTTAATTTCTTGGTGCCTCAATTCCTCATTTATAAAATGAGAGTGATTAAATGAGTCACTGTATTAGGGTCTACACTTAGTTCAGTGTCTAGCACATAGGAAGTTTTTTGAAAAAGCAACTATTTTTCTTTTTTACATCTTGATTTATGTCTTAGTTTTTCTAGGGGTACTGTAATAGAAATACTACAAGCCAGTGGCTGTTACGAACAGATCTTTATTTTCTCACAGTTCCAGAGGCTAAAAATCCAAATCAGGGCCTCAGCTTTGTTGTGTTCCTTGGTGATGCTCATCTGGCATCTGTCCTCCTGAGTATGTGTTTTGCCTCTGTGTCTAATCTCTTTTTATAACTAGAAGTGGTTAGGTTTAGGACACACCATACACTGATGTGGTCTATTTCCAAACAGAATTACATCCACATGTATAAGGGTTTAGATTCCAACACATATTTTGGGGTTTAGATTCCAACACATATTCAGTCCATAACAGGCTATTAACAGAGTCAGCCTGGGTCTGTATCATGCCGAGTCCAGCTACCTCATATCCACTTGTAGTAGCACTAAGTCCACCCCTCAGTCTCTATCCTTTGTCCACAGGGGTATTGTCCTTGCTTCACATCTGAAACCTCTGGAGAGGAAGGACAAGATGGGAGGGAAGAGAACTGTACCCTGGAATTGTCATTCTACTCAGGGAAGCATCTCCCAGGATGAAGCCACTGAAATATTCCAGGTAGGTAAGGCCCAGCCTAAAGTTTAGCCCAGCAGGTTCTGCCCTGAACTCCCAAGCCTGTCTCTTAACAACATATACCTCTACCTTCTTTTTCTTTTTCTTTGTTTTTTTTTAAAAAAAAATTTTTATTGTTAATTAAATGAAGGTTTACAGAGCAGATCATCAGTTTTACATTCAACCAATCATATACTTGGCTTCATTACAATGATTGCATTGCCCTCCATGTACCAACAGTTAACAGCATTTACCTTTATACACTTTAACTTTTGCATTCCTCCCTGTGTCTCCCGCTACCCTCATCTTTCTTCTGTCAACTTCCCTCTTATTGTATATTGCCTGCCCCATCACCCACGTTAACCCGTGTCTACCCTCTAGCCCATGAATAATTTTCCCTCCCCATCTGCCTTATTTTTCATGTCAAGCCAAGAGAAGTACCTTTCTATCTCTGGTGCCAGAAACAAAGCAGTCAGCCAGTAGATGGTGAGGCCAAGTTGGGTCAGAAAGGTGGGCTAGGCAAGCCCCCATCAGCTGGTTCTTTGACTTTCATTCCCTGAGCAGATTTGGGTTCATTTACTGTTATTATATATTATATAAGTATTATATATAGTGTGTATTATATATAGCACGAGGGGACTTCAAAGAGTTTGTGGCAAAGTTCTGTTGTCTTTTAATCCCATAGTTCCACAAACTTTTTTTTTTTTAAGAGACCTCTGCGCATCAGCCCCACCCAGACTTTCCACAAACTTTTTGAAGCCCTCTTGTAATGACCCTGTGGTAGTATTGGCGGAAGACCCAGCCTGTCAGATTCAGAAGTTTCTCCCTGAAATTTCCAATCATTTTCTCCACCCTGCTCAGAGTAAACACTGACTTGCTCTCATAGTCTAGGGCTATGTTCCATTTTTCAGAGGGAAAATTCTAGTACAACTGAGAAGCTCCCATAATGGCATAGTTTTCCTTCAAGGCCTCCTCCCTTCTCTGGAGATGAGACCCTCAGGACTACTGTCTTCCCAGTGCTCAGAGAACAGTACCAGAACAAAGATGAAAACTTCCAGACTGCCCTCCAGGTCCTAGAGCTGCTGGAAAGCTCTGATCTCCATTTCCTTCTACCTTGGTTATCTAGGAGAAAGTACTCCTCCAGCCTGAGACCTCGGCAGAGTTCTACCGGAATTGGCGGCGACACTTGCGAAGTGGGCCGGAGCGCTACCAGGCTCTGCTGCAGCTCGGGGCCCCAAGGCTGGGCCATCTCTTTCAGATGGATGTGGGGTTTGGACTTCTGGGAGAGCTGCTGGTGGCACTGGCTGATCATGTGAGGCCAGCTGACTGGAGGGCTGTTCTAGAGATCCTCCGCAGCCTGGCAGGCACGAGGCGCTTTACCTTGAACCTGAGCCTGCTGAGCCAAGCAGAGACAGAGGGCTGCAGAGATTTGTTTCAGAAGCTGCAGACCATGAGTACGCCCAGGCCCATGAAGGAGGGGCTCAGCCAGGAGGAGCAGGGTCTGGAGACACAGCCTGGGGAGGCCCAGGAGGGGAAGAGGCTTCTGCAAGAGCTGCGAGGGCGGTACCAAGTGAACTGATTAGGACCGCCCGTCCTCAGAGGCCCCCAGTGGCCACTGGAGGCCTCTTTTGTTGTCTTGGGGGCCCATACCTGATTGTCTTTTCAACTTGGAATGTTCAGAGCAAAGCAGGAATTGAGCTTTCCCCACTTTGCCAACCCCTCGGTGGCTACGGGGGCAGTCAGGACCCAAGAAGTTGAAAGCAGTTTGGCTTCCTACCTTTAGATAGCAGCCTTAGAGCTGGCCAAGCCCTTATCCCTCTGGTTCTGATGGGTGTGTGCCCAACCAAATGCTGTCTACATTTATACCCTCCACTCCAAGGAAAATAAAAGCAAAGCCTTTCATCTTCCATGGTAAGTAAGTACTGATCTCCACAGGTCTCGATAACAATGTTTGCAACCTCAGATCAGTGAATGGACGTTTATCAATAAATGATCAAATGCTACTTCATTGGGGTGCAGCAGTTTTCGACATGGACTGAGTTCCTGTACAGGCTGCTGGGAAGGCCCCAAGTTACTAGTTCACGCCTGGCTAGCCTCCCAGGCTGCTTCCGATGGTTAGACAAGCAGGCAGAACAGTTTCCTCCATTTCCTGAATGAACAAAAAGGGAAGACTTTTTCTACCAGGCAGGTGACCAGGGCCTGGAAGAGTGGGCAGAGATTTCTCGGTCTTACTTCCTCAACCCTTGCTTCTCATTCTAGTCTTCCCTCACCCATTCTTGGGTGAGTGCCAGTGTTCTAGAAAGGGAAGTGAGGGCTAGGTTCTAGAATGGTTTTCCCATGAGAATGGGTATGGAACATTAGAAGGGCATCTAGAACGTCAACTGGAAATAAATTGTTTACCTTTGGCAGCTTCTGCAGACTATTATTGCTTGCTTTCTTGGATGCTCAGTCCTTTCCTCAGAGACTCCTCTTCCTGGAAGTGAATTTCAGGAGTCCTGACAACCTTCCTGCCTTGGTTTTGCCTCTGACCCTTCTCTCCTGCTAACATGAACCTGGCCCACACCACTGTGCTCCTGTGGGTGTGGGGCAGTCTCCAGAGCTTTGAAATTGTAGAGAAGGAGAACATTTTTCAGAAAACTCCTTGCCCAGCTTTCTTGATGTTTGACAATGCAGCTTACCTGGCCGATATGAGCTTTGAGCTTCCTTGCCACTGCAAGCCTGAGGAGGTATCAGCTGTGGTCTGGTACTACCAGAAGCACCTAGGCAGCAGCCACACCAAAGTGCTGACTGACTTTGATGGGCGGGTGCTGACGGAGGCGGCTCACGTGCGCGTGGGGAGTGACATGCTAGTCCGCTTTAGTATCCGCATGTTCAGCCTGCTGGTTTTCCGGGCCCAGCCCGAGGACTCAGGCTTGTATTTTTGTGGCTCCCGTAAGGGGGACTACTTTTATGCCTATGACGTGGACATCCAGAGTAATGAAGGGATGGTGGCCACCTTCCAGGATGAGGACCAAGAGCCCTTTGAAGATGAGTACCATGGGGACCTCCATGTCTTCACTACTTTCTGGGAGTGGACCCCCTGTGATCGCTGTGGGGTACGTGGGGAGCAGTGGCGCATTGGCCTCTGCTACCTACAGAGCCCAGGCCTCTCCCCACGTTACCGCAAGACGCTGCCCAATGTGGTGTCCTGTGGTTCGCAGGCTGTGCCAAAGAAACTGTGGACCATAGCCAGGGCCCACACACCTGAGCTGCTGGTTCGGAGCTGCATAGTGTCCTGTGAGAAGAGGAAGACGATCCGCGAGGGCCTGCTGGCCATTTTCAACTACGTGTCTAAAGTGGGCAGCCGGCCCTGGGTGCCCCAGGTGCCCATTCAGTTCCACCAGCAGAGGCTGGGGCATGGACTCATCATCTCCTGCCCTGGTGCCCGGCCAGAGCATGCTGTGGCTTGGGACAAAGACGGCCAGCACCTATACCGCACACACTATCTGAAGGGCGTCAACAGGTCTATGCGGGTGTTCATTGACCATGGCAACCAGCTCCACATCCGTTTCACCCAGCTGAGTGACCGAGGCATCTACTATTGTTGGCGGCAGGGAGTGCAGATCGCCGGGTTCCGGCTGGCTGTGAAATCCCGTGGCCATTACCATGTCTCCTTCTCAGACCCGGAGACTCGCTCTGTCCTCCAGCTCACCCTGATAGGCTACCTGCTTATCACAGCAGTCTTTGTGTCTATTCACCTCTTCCGTTGCTGCTGTTACGTATTTCGCTGTTGTCCCAACTTCTCCCCCTAGGTTTTCTTCTCCCCAGCCCTGAAGATCAGTTGTGCCTAAATGCATTTCTGAAATGATACCAGATGCCTCCGAGTGGGCATCCTGGGCTGGGACATGTGGCAAGGAGGTGTGGACAAATCTGTTTTACAACCTGCACCTCATTTTCATGGGTGGGGCTGAGAGTCTGGTCTGAGAAGTGGAGAAGCCAGTGGCTGGTGGGCATTTGGGGACTCGGGTCATGCTGGATGGAGGTAGCCAGGGTCCACATGTTTTCCGGCTTACACTCAGACAAAAAGAAATGAACCTAGTATTTAGCTAACAGCCTACGTGTATTGAATAGTGTTTGAGGTACTTTTACCTTCTTGCCTTTGAAGATTGCTAAACGGGCACTGATTGAACTTGGAATAGCAAGAAGACAGAAGAAAACAGTGGGATTCTAGTCTCTGTCCCCTTTGGCTTACTCTCCAGCTTTGTCCTGGACTGGCAGGAAGAAATTGAAGGTTTGGGATAAAGTGCTCAGCTGCTAACTGCAAGGTTAGAGGTTCAAGTCCAGCCCAAGGAAGAAAGGTCTTAGGATCAATTTTTGAAAAATCAACCATGGACAAGCTGATAGAGCACAGTTCCACTCTCCACACGTGGGGTCGGCATGAGTCAGGGCGCACTCAGTGGCAAACGGGTTGTTGTGATTGGGTGCTATCCAGTTGGTTCCTACTCATAGTGACTCTGTACACAACAGAACGAAACACTAGCCAGTCCTGTGCCATCCTCACAACTGACAACTGGCGGTATGGGAGAAATGGGCGATGAATGTGGGATCAAATTCAGAGCTTACCTGAGATTGCCCAGGATGGGTCTTGGGAGTAAGAAGAGAGAGAGGGATGCTGCTATGGTGGTCTTGGGGCAGGGATGGGGCTGGAACATCCCAAGATGATCAGTGATAAGCAAGCTGGGCCTTATCTGAAACCATGTCATCCCCCAGCCCTCCATCTCTGAGAGATCCAAGTCCACTCTGGGGAAGGCTATATAGCGTTTGTCTTTATTTTCTCCTCCATGACTAGGCAGCAGCAGTACCCCAAAGGTGAACAGTAGCCAGTGGCCAGAGGGGTGGAGAGGAGAGAGCACCAAGGGAAACAGGGCTTTTGGCTTTAGGGTGGAGAGGGGACCCCACTTCTGGGCTCCTCACTGGCAGAGCAGTGCTGTGGGTAGAAGTGTGTGCCTGGAGCGGCCCTTCTCTAGACTTGTGCCTGAAGTTTGAGGCTTGTAAGATATGATGCTGCCTAAAATACAGGAGTATATTTTGTGTGTGAGTGGAGGCCCTGGCTGGGGCCCCTGGCTGAGGGAAAAGCAGCTGGTCCTACGGGACAGAGTCAGATGCGTGGGATGGCTTCAGTCAGCAGCATTTACTAGAATCAGGAGGTAGCAGTCCCAGGGGCTCAGGGGCCTGGACGGACAGGGACTAGAAAGGAAGAGGCCTTTGGAACTAGAACAAAGCTGTGTCCCCACCCCACCCCACCCTGTTCTGTTTCAGCAGCATCTTCTTGATTTCCATGACCCAGAAGTCAGTGTTGCCCACAGCCCCCCACCATACCCATCAGCACTCCCTCCAATCTGTAGGGGGTGCTTGTCCTCTCTACTCAGGGCTAGGGGCAGCTCTCCCAGTACTCCTTCCTGCCCCACCACTTCCCTCTCCACTTACACTATCATCCATCCCTCGAGTGCTGGGAAACAAGCTCCCACAAACCCTCAGGATCCCACAGGGTGGTTCCCTGGATGGTGGCTCTTTGGGGCCAAGACATTCAAGTCACCACTCGGGAGCCCTCTGGGACCCAGGCCAGCTGTAAATTCTGTCTGGTGACCACACCAGGTGACAAGACTTGTCTATCTACTCTCAGGCTGGCCAGCATCAGGCTAGAAGTCTCCGGCGAGGGCTTCCTTGCCTGTGGGGACCCCCTTATCCTGCCTCAGAGTCTCAGTTTTCCTCTAGCAGCCCGAGGAAACTCAGAGACCCAGTTCCTAGGCACTTGTGGAGACAGGCTCTGACATCAGTTACCATAACAACAAGGGTTGAGGATATGGGGTGTGATTTATCAGGTTCCCCTGGCTCTCTCCAGCTTCTCCCCTCCCAATTTTAAATCAAGCTGCTGGCCACACCCTTAGGGTGAGTAAGTGAGTGCTGTTAGTGGGGGCTGCTTATTGGGTGCTATCTGGCATGTCTAACGTTGATAGGGCCTAGGGCAGCAAGCTAGCAAAGAGGATGGGAAGTCAGGTCTGGGGAGACTAGCTATCATAGGAGGGGCAGCTAGCCTGCCTCCTGCTGCAGGCCCCCAGGAGGTGGGCCTGTGTTACATCATGTCCTTGTGCTCCTGCTTGGACTCCTTGATGACCTGCAAGGGACAGGGAAGGTGCACAGTACAATAGTTAGGAACTCACATAGAGCCCAGGCTAGCCCACTGTCTGTCGCTAGGAGGTGTAACCTTGGGCAAGTCCCCAACCTCCCTGGAGCTTTCTTTTCTAGGATAATAACCAGAGTCAAAGAAGCAATGATACGATGCTTGTAAAGCATTTATACATATACCAGGCAGCTGGTAAGTTAATGTTGTTGTTAAGTGCTGTTGGGTCAGTTCCAACTCACAGCAACTCTGCATAGGGTTTCCAAGGAGCAGCTGGTGAGTTTAAACCACTGACCCTGTGGTTCAAACTAACCTTGTGGTTCAGTGCTTTATCCTACAGCACCGTACCAGGACTCCCTGGTAAGCTAATGGCATAAGACTAGATAGATATATTTTTTTTTTGCTGGTGGGAATGGGGAATGGTGGGAACAGAATGGGAACAGACTAATGCAAATCTCTCCTCCTCACCTCTCTGACAGGTTCCTTTAACCAAGGGGGACATTGAAAGCCCTCCCACTTCCCAACTGTTGTAGGTGAAACCGAAAGCCATAACTTTCTTTCCTGAGTTTGAGGGTAGGAAAGGGTGAAATCCTGAGCTAGCACCCCACGTCATGGCATAGGCACGCAGGCACCCCTTAGAATGGAGTTAGACCCAACTCCCTGCAGAGCTCCTGAGCATCCTCAAGGCTTTTCTGTGGGCCAATCCCAGGCTGTGCCCAAGAGTGGCCTCCGAATCCTCACCTCTCCATCCCGCATCTCCACAGTCTTCACCACGATGTTCCTCTTGAGGTGGCCTTCAGACACGGATTTGGTGTCCAGGCTGGTTTCTGCAGGCATGAGGACAGGAGGCCTCCCATGGGCTCTTGGGGACTAGGCATCCCTTCCCACCACTGGCCTCTCTGTCACACACCCCCAATCCTGAGTGCAAGAGCCCATCCAACTAGGCAGGAAGTGGCCGAGCACTTCTAACATAGGTTAAGCACCTGGGACAAATAGTGCTCAATGCATGTGAGTCCCTTGCCTGTCCCCTTTCCTATTTCTTCTTGCCACTTATTTGCCTAGTGACCTTTACCACCTGGCATCTGGCAATATTACCTCTACCTGGTCAGCTTGGTTAACCCTTTTGAACTAAGCCCTGAGACATGCATGTCAAGTGTTCCTTAATTTTTTAGCGCACAAGAAGAAAATTTCCTCCTATCCTTGGAAACCCTATACAGAGTCATCATGAGTCAGAACTGATTCAATTGCACTTAGCAACAACAACAAGTAAAAAGTAACTGTGTCCTCCCCCATCAACCTCAGAAAAATATAACATGTCCCAGTTACTCCTATTTAAAACGAAGAACAGAGAACATAAAACTTTATTCACTACAAGAGTAGCAGTTTAGGAGGAAATAATCCTCCGGGCTGAATCAGCAATGAGCTGAGCAATAGAGCCTCGAGGACCAAGGAATCCCACAGATCCAACGGGCTTTCCCTGCGAGACAGGGATGAGGTGAGGCCGAGGCTGGCCTCAGAGCCTCTGTTCTGAGCACCCAAGGACACACCATGGTTAGCACTCGCCAACTCGGATTGTTTAGCCCACATACACTCTCCTGTGTTGGGCACTGCAGTTGCTGGAAAATGACAAAGTCCTGACCCTTCTGGGGATGCTGAGAGGAGGGAGGCCAAGAGGCCCAGAGAAGTAATCTTTAGTGAGGCTCACTGCCTGGTCAAGCGGAAAGCAAGCAGCTAACCTAGAGCCTGCAAGGCTCCGTTTACAATCTGCTGCATCTCTATTGGGATAACTTGTATTGTAAGCCTTTTGAGATGTCTTGTGACCTTGTGACCTTCCCCTTCTCTGGTGCTTTTGTCCCCTGTAGTGACAAGCAGTGAAAAAAACAAAATCATAAAACAGACAGGCAGAACTTGCTTAGGGACCTGTCAACAGGGCAGAGGTTGAGCCCCTCTGCCCTATTCTGCAGTGGAATGGGGTGCATGCAAGGATGGAGAGTGGGGCACAAGCCAGAGCAGGCCAGGTGTGGCTGGAAGCCTCACTGGGAAGGGTGTGGGAGGGTGAGATCTGGTTAGCAGCATTGCAGTGCATCATGAAGCCCCCAAAGAGAGGTCCAGACCTCTCTGCCTTGGTCCTTGGCCCCAAGCCAAAGCAGCAGCCCACAGACTAGGGGAGGAGATAGGCGTCCAACACCCTTCCCACAAGGCCCTGCTCCACTGACCTCTGATTTGCAGGTTGGAGAAGGTCTGTACAGGAATGGTGATGCTGAAAGACAGAGGGAAATAAATGGGTCCTGGTCCAGGGTCATCACGATAGCCTTGAGGCCATTAGCTTGCCAGGAAAGGCCAACCCCATGCCCTAGCTCTCCCCAGCAGTGAAGGTGCTTTCAGGGACTCCAGATGTTTGTGAGAGGCTATGGTTTTATCTGCAAGGGGACCATTTCTGTCCCAAGGAGAGTGGTGCACAGACAGTGACCGAGGAGACAGTAGAGTAATGAAGAATGCTCTAAGGAGGCAGAAGAGATAGGTCTGGATCAAAGAAGCCCAATCTTTGTTTGGGGGAGGCGTAGGGGGTGAGCCTTTAAGTTGATCCAAGTCCTTGGCGGTGGGATTTAATCAATATTGGTTGAATGGAACCCATTCATTCATCAAACATTTTTAAAGTACCTTCTCTGTGTTAGGCCAGCACAGTTCTGGACTCTAAGATAAGAGGGAGCTGGACACAGGCTGAATACGACAAAGCCCCTGAAGAGAGCAAGGCTGATTCTCCCTAGGGGCAGCAAGCAATAGCATTGGGATGCCCTAGGGCTGTGGGCAGGGCTCACCGGTTCTCCTCGCCCTCTAGCAGCTTCCTGTAAGTGGCGATCTCGATGTCCAGGGCCAGCTTGACGTTGAGCAGCTCCTGGTACTCCTGCAAGTGGCGGGCCATCTCGTCCTTGAGGCTCTGCCTATCCTCCTCCATTCGGGTCAGCGCCTCCTGATAACTGGCCACCTCCCGCACATGGCGCTCCTCCTGCTCCCGCATCTGTCTCTCCAGGGACTCGTTCTGTGGGGTGGAGCCGGCGAATCCTTCAGGCCCCGCCAGAGCTCCAGACCCCGCCCCTGCCCCACCCCATAGTGGAGAGGAGGCTCGGCCCTGGGCGAGCCTCCTAGCTTGTCCACACCAACTGGTCCTGTCGGTGCTCACTGTGCCGCGCAGGGACTCCAGGTCGCAGGTTAAGGCCTGCAGCTGGCGTCTGTAATCGTTGGCCTCGTGTTTGGCCTGGCGGAGCAGCTCAGAGTTGCGGGCGGCAGCGTCTGTCAGGTCTGCAAACTAGACGGGAGAGCGCCTTAAGCTGGGCAGGGGAAGGGGACTGGGGCCAAGGGACCGAACGGGGCGCACGCATATCGCGAGAACTTGATGGCCAAGAAACTTTTACACTAGTACCCAACTGAACGTCGTTGCCCCCCACCATTTTTGTTGTTAAGTGCCTTCGAGTGGTTTCCGACTCATAGCAACCCTGTATAGTTTCCAAGGAGCAACTGGTGACTTTCAACCATCAACTTCGTGGTTCAAACCAACCCTGCGGCCCAGTGCTTTATCACAGCGCCACACTGGGACTTGCCCATCATAGTCCTGGATTCTAAGAAACCTCTCTATTCCATCCCGAAGGATCCCTGGTGGCACAGTGGGTTAAGTGTTGGGCTGCTAATCCCAGGTTGGCGATTCAAACCCACCAGCGGCTCTGCTGGAGAAAGTTGAGGCTGTCTGCATCCATAAAGATTTACAGTCTTGGAAATCCTGTGGTGCAGTACTCTGTCCTTCCTATAGGGTCTCAGGGAGTCAGAGCCAACTCGACAGCCTCCTAGCTCCAGCCTCTCCTCTCCTCAGAAGCACTACTGGTTTCAGCTGTCTACACTTCTCAGCTTGGCACTATGGGCCATATTTCAGGGCCCTTGTCTCTGCTCCGGCTGTGACCTCCACTTGAAAAGCCCCTTCCTTCCTCATTTGCTTGCCCATAGCCTGTCTGTCCTGCTCAGCCCAAATGCCTCCTTCTATGACATCTTCCCTGATCCAGGAACTGCATTCGTAAGTTCTCTCTGGTGCTGTTCTCTGTGGATGCCTTAGGACTTCAGATGTGTGGAGGCAGGTGCTTGCTTGGGTGATCTCCTCGGTCAGACACCTCTCTGTATCCTGGGCCCTGCCTTGCACTCGGATATACAGTAATGCAGGACACAGGCTGGTGGAGGGATCAAGAATGGTATCAGGCTTCAGAGTGAGATGGGCTGGCGTTAGAAATCCAGCTCTACTACTTAGGAGCTGTGTGACTTTGGGCAAATTACTCAAGTTCTCTGGACTTCTCACCTGTCAAAGAACAGTGGTGGTGGTTATATGTTGTGGAGTCAGTTCTGACCCATACAAATCCTGCATAGAGTCTTTACAGGAGCAGAAAGGCTTATCTTTCTCTTGCGGAACGGCTGGTAGTTTCAAACTACTGACCTTGAGGTTAGCAGCCCGACTCATAAGCACTATGCTATCAGAGCTCCTTATCAAAGATCAGTACTTACTCCAGAGTAAGATAATCCATGTAAAGGATTTAGAACAGGAGCTGGCACACAATCATACTTAAGTCCTTGTTGGAGATAACAGTGTTTGTGTTGCCCTGGACAAGTCTCCTCACTTCTCTGGAGGTAGGTAACACAGAAAAGATCCTCTCCCACCTTTTCTACCCTTCCTCCCAATTCTCTTGGATGGAGCAAGGAGGGCTTCCTGGAGGAGGCAGGCTCGCCCACAGTCAGACTACCTTGGACCGGTACCACTCCTCCGCCTCATGCATGTTGCTGGACGCCACTGCCTCATACTGCGTGCGGATCTCTTTCAGGGCTGCTGTGAGGTCTGGCTTTGCCATGTCCAATTCCACATGGACCTGTTGCCGGGCCAGCTGCTCCTGGAGCTCTTGCACCTCCTGACCAGGGTGAGAGAAGGAGTCCCAGGGCTCAGGGCCTAGACCACAGCCTTCCACTAGGACATGGTCACTGGCTGAGTGGCCCTAATGGGAGGAAGTGGCATGGTCCAGGCTAAGGTAGGCAGGGCTCCTCCTCCTAGAGCTGGAGAGGTGGGAGCCAACACGGGAAGTGTGCCCACGGTGTTTAGGGGATATGACAATATTGCTGTCTGGGGGTGTGTCCGTGGTTTTTAGGGGATATGACAATATTGCTTCAGTGGGTGTGTCCATGGTTCCTGGATCCATGAGGCCATGGATCCTGAATCTATGATCTGAGGAGTGGCTCTCATTTTAAGGGTGACAGATGGCAAAGTGGGTGGAATCAGACTTAGCTGTGTGACTGGCAGGTGCCATAACCTCTCTGGGCCTCAGTGAATCTGTGAAGTAGGGATGATACTGGAATGGCTCCTACATCATTGCGTTATTATGGAAAAAACAAACCGAAGCAATGGGGTCCATTGTAACACTCCATTAATGGGGTGGTGATGTGTGTGTGCGTGCGTGCGTTTTACCAGGGATCCGGATACTCTCTTGCCTCTGCCTCCCTCAGTCTCTCTCTGCGTCTGTCTCACTCTCTTCTCTCAGTCTCACTCTCTGTCAGCCAATCTCTATCGGTTTCTCTCTTTCACTCTTTGTCTGTTTCAGAGTGTCTCTCAGTCTCTCTCTGTTTCATTCTCTGTCTTGGACTCTCTTCCCTCTGTCCCATCCTTACCTCCTCATGGATCTTCCTCAGGAACCGGATCTCCTCCTCCAGAGACTCAATCTTCCTCTCCAGATCTAACCGGCCCAGAGTGGCTTCATCTGCCTCCTTGAGTGAGGAGACAGCCAAGAGCCACTCTGACCCCAGACTCTTCATTCCCCAACCTTGTTTATCCTTTCTTCTGGGACCAGTGGGGAGCAGCACATTGTTCTAGAGGGCTGGACTGGGCAGGGGTCTCTATTGGGGTAGACTGCCTTCATGCCTTTCCCTCCTCCTGGCCCCACCCCTTTATCTCCCTGACCTGTCGGTAGGTGGCCAGGTTGTTCTCTGCCTCCAGCCTCAGGTTGGTTTCATCTTGGAGCCTGGTGTGGGGGAGACACATTCCTGGGGCCAAACTCTTCTGAGGACTCTTGAGTCCTTCCCCAGGCTCCCAGGACTGGTAGAGTGGCAGGAGAGCTAGGGACAGAGTGGTCCTAGACAGAGGCCTTGGCTGGGAGGGTGAACAGTCGAGGGCCTTTGCTTTAACTCATTACCTTATCAGGACTGGTGCACCTGCGCCTGCTCAAACAGGTGCTTCCAAGACACCGTGCGTGGCCACATGCACACACACATGCACACACACACACATACACACTCCTCCTGCACTTGCAGCCCGTCTGTCTTGCTCTGTCAGCTCAACAAAGCACCACGTCCCTGGGGGCTCCTCCGATCCTGGCCAGCTACCTCCTGAAATAGGTTTTATTATGACCCACATCAAGGCTGCACAGGTTGAGGTAGCGTGCTTAAAGGTCACGAACTGGTTACAAGCAGTGTGCTTTGAACCCAGGCCTGCCTGCTTTTCTCCCTTCAAGTCATCCTTGTAGATGCCCACCTTCTCCTCTTTTACTTCCTCTTTTAGACAGACCCTGGCTCAGGAAAGGTGAACTCCCTCCCTGTGGTCACCAGGCCCAGCTATGGATGGAAACCCAATGACCCCATCTGTGCAGACTCCCCCTGGTTGGAGGTCCTGAGGCCTTTGGGACTCAAGTCTCCTGCGACTTTGGGCCTTTTCCCGGTCCCTCCCTTTGTTTGGGGAAGAAAGGATTTCCTTCATGTTCCAGAGGTGAGGACATGGAAGCAGGATCTTGTGTCCTGAGACCCTTACAGGCCCTCCTGGGAGCTCAGCACCCTACTCAGGAATCCCTCTCCTGGATACCCCTCCTCACTTCTGCCGCAGGATGCCCAGGTCCTGGGCCAGGTTGTCTCTTTCCACCTCAAGCCTGGTGCTGTTGGCGGTGAGCTGATCGAGCCGCAGCCGTAGTTCGCGCAGCTCTGCCTGGTAGACATCAGCCAGCTTGGTAGGCTCCTTGGCCCTGAGCTGGTTCAGCTCAGCAGCCAGTGCCTTGTTCTGCTGCTCGAGGAAGCGCACCTTCTCGATGTAGCTGGCAAAGCGGTCATTGAGCTCCATCATCTCTGCCCGCTCACTGGTCCTTGTCTCCTTGAAGCCAGCATTGAGTGCCCCGGCCAGGGAGAAGTCCACCCGGACTGGGAGTGGAGGGGGCATTCGAGCTAGGGAAAGACGGGTGCCAGGTCCCAGGCGGCGGCTGGGACCCAGGCCCCCCATCACTGTCTCTGAGGAAGAGACATAGGAGCGGCGAGCCGCTGAGGTAATGCGTCTCCGCTCCATCCAGGCTAAGCTCTGGCAGCTCCTAGCATCTGTGGGCTTTATAGAGGAGTGGACTGGCCTGGCATTGCCCAGGCTGCTCCGGCAACGCTGCCTGGCATGGCCTGAGGGGGTGGGGTTGGACCGCAGCCCAACCATGAGCAGAACTTTTGTCACCCCACCGAGGTCACTGTGCCCAGAGGCAGTGCTTCCTGGACATGCCAGCCTCCTCTAGGACTGCAGACAAGGGTTTGATGGGTGGTGTCTGGGGCCGGATGCTGGGTCTGGGGTCCTAACCACTGGACAAGGAGGCCCCTTTTCTAGGAAGGTGGACCAAGCAGGGGCTGGATCAGATGACTTCTGACCTGCCTTGCAACAAGTGCCATTCCCCAGTCACCCCTTACTGGGCACCCCTTCATTAAGTGCCTCCTGGATGCTGGGAATTTGGTGAAGAGTAAACCTAGCAGCTTCCTGGATACCCTCTGGAGACAGATGTCCCCTATTCCAGCTTCAGTAGCCTTCTCTGGAGTTCTGGGATTGGGGCTGGATGGGACACCAGCTCTCTGGCTGGAGGATCAGTTGAGCCTCTCTATCTGGCAATCTGGGAATGATAGAGGAAGCTTTGGGGATGTCTCTGTAGGGAAGAGGGACCAACACTATACTGGGGTCACTCTGGAGCCACTGTTATCTCCTCTCTGCATCCCCTTCCCAAGCCAGGCCTTGACAGCTTCACTAAGCAGTTATGAATGAGCTGGCTGTCCCTGCTCACATTCTGTTGTTGTGATGCCCCGTTTCCCTGGCCACCCCCTCACTTGCCTCCTGGAGATTTATCTCTTTACAGTTCCCACACATCAGGCTGGGAAGATGGGAAAACCATCTCGGGATGGGTGGTTTTGGCAACTTGGGAGCCACTGGGTCCAGACCAGGAGCCTGTTCACCCCTCCACTCTGGCCCCACCCAGCCTCATACCGGCCCATGTCCTTGGACCTATGGGAGGAGGGCAGCAGCACACTGCCCATGCCTGGGACGCCCAGCCCTCTCCCCAGGCATTTGCTGAAAGGAGCCTTGTTCTCCACCACCCGTGAGGGCAACAAGGCGCGAGGGCAGCCCCCAGGAGACTGTGCTGCTTTTATCTCAAGAAGCCAAGCTGTCGGGCCAGGGCGTGGCCTGAGCCCCCTGCTCAATGGGCTTCTCGGAAAGCATTTGAGGGGGGCTGAGTGCAGTGGGAAGCAGGCTCTGTTCCCACCCCATTGTGCCTGTGCCAAGGTGAGTCATCTGGTGGGCCTAAGGGGAAAGCTCTAGGGGGCAGCTAACGCAACACTGCCAGGTCTCTAACTTGGCAGACAGGCCTGACTGGCCGCCCCTCCCCAGTGTACAACCATTTCAGGCCCCTGAGCCCCGGTGAGGACATGCTCTTTACTCGGGTATGTTATTTGCTGCCTGCTGGGGTCACACTTGAGGCTTCTTCCAGGAGTCCTAGCTCTGAGGGGCAGAGATGAGACTGCCCAAGTCTCCAGCACAACTAATTCTGAGTCTTCACCAATAACATGGGCAAGGGACTCGTGATGCAGGGACACCTAGAGACCTTTCATCCTGCTGTCTTGGAGTGTTGGGGACGGAGACTTTAGAGACAGAACAGGACTGAGGATGAACCCTTGGATTACAGAGTCTTGTCCCAACTCTGTGGCTAGAAGAGTGGCCTGCTCTTCCTGGTTGCTGGGCAAGTCACAGTCTAGTGGAAATTAGTGTAAAGCAACTCTGGAGAGAAAAGTTGTAACAAAGGAGGAAGTTGTCAGAGAAGCTAGGTGAATAGTACCTTTATTATGAGACACAGAATCTCAGGGTGCTGCAAATGGGTAACAGACTCTGCTTCTAACTAAAAGGTTGGTGGTTTGAATACACCCAGAGGGGGCTCAGAAGAAGGACCAAGCAATGTACTTCTGAAAGAGTAGCCATTGAAAACACTGTGGAGCACAGTTCTATTCTGACACACATGGGGTTGCCATGAATTGGAGCCAACTCTAAAGCAGCCGGGTTCAGTCAGCACCAGATAATGGGATCCCTAGATCTCACCCCCTTTATCCATCTGCTAGAGCCCTTGTTTCAGAACTCAGGTTCTCTGGCCCTATTCTCCATCCCTAGATCTAGCCCAACACTTAACCTTTAACTATTCAAAGTTTTTGGGAATAGAGAAGCAAAGAGGCCAACAGACTTGATGGTAGTGATTTTTCCAAACTTTCATCATTTTTATTACACATTGATTGTAGAAAAATTAAAAGATAAAGAAAGATAAGCACAACAAATTTTAATTAGCCATGATTTCACCACCTGGAGATAAACATTACCAGATTTCTCCCCATACATATAGACAGTGTGTTTTTTTTTAAGTGGACTCATGTTGTACAAATTATTTTGCAATTTGCATTTTCCACTCGACAATATGTTGTGAACATCTTTCCATATCAATAAATATGTATCTACATCATCATTTTAACAGCTGCGTGGATTTCCACTGTGTGCATTAATTTAACCAAGCTCTATTGGTGGACAATTACCTCCCCTCTCTCTGTTGTCAACCATACAGTGATGCTCATTTGCCCCAGTCAAACACAACCAGCTGGGATAGGCAGATCCTCAGTCCTCTTGGCCCCTAACTGTCCTCCTAGCCTGCCTCAGACCCATCCTATGCTACACCTCCTCCTGATTTCCCAACCTCAGGTCCCAACATCCGAAGCCTCAGGCTATACCCTAGCCTGACAGCAGAACGCTTCTGGCCGGGGAGAGAGGATGGCTGAACACTTCGCCACAGGGCATTCAACCACACTGCTCCAGGCTTCAAGCCAAGATGGGGACAAGATGACCTCCCACTTCATGAACCTCCCCTTGTCAGAATCTTTGAGGATGCTCTCCTGTCTAGGGAAAAATCCAGATGCCTCCTGGGACCCATCAATGCCACATCTAACCTCGCCCCCGCACACAAAATTCTCTCTTGATGACCCTTTGGCAACCACTGGGTCCACGCCGGTGTTGGGGAGCTGAGCCCTCATGGCCACTAGGTGGCGGTGCTCAGCTGCCCAGGTCCAAATTGCCAGGGGGGTCACAGCCAGGTCACAGGCAGGGAGAAAGCCTAAAGCTCGTATCTGGATCACCCAGATGGATCACTTTCTATTATGTTGTTGTTGTTAGGTGTTAATTGAGTCGGTTCCAACTCATAGCGACCCTGTATAGGAGCTCCAACGAACAACTAGTGGATTTGAACCACCGACCTTGTGGTTCAAATTGACATTGCTGTCCAGTGTTTATTCTACAGTGCCGCAGCAAGACCTTGGCCACTCTATCATTGTATGAGTTGGGCAACTTCAGGGATCTTTTTTGCATCTTCTTTCATACATCAGTCAAATGGGGAGTCATCATGCCTACTTTCAAGTCCATTGTGAGATTTAAGTTAGTGAAAGTCAGACATAACAGGTGCTTAATAAGTTGTCATTGGGTGCTGTCGATTCGATTCACTCTTAGTGACCCCATGTGACAGAATAGAATCGCCTTATGAGGTTTTCAATGCTGATGTTTACTGGAGGAGATATGATGGCACTGTAGGATAAGCACTGAACTGCTAACTGCAAGGTCAGCAGTTCAAACCCACCAGCCACTCTGAGGGAGAAAGAGGAGCCATTCTGCTCCCATAAAGACTTACAGCCTTGGAAACCGTGACTCGATGGCAGTGGTTAGGTTGGTGACCTTCACTGGAGCAGATCTGCAGGTCTTTTTCTGCCATGGAACCACTGATGAACCTTCCTGGTGAACAGCAGAGCCCTTAACCATGACATCATCAGGGCTCCTTTAATAAACCACAGCTTAACACTTGCCATGCACTAAGGAACCCTGCTGGTGCTGTAGATACAATATTTGGCTGTTTCCTAAAAGGTCAGTGGTTTGAACCTACCAGCCACTCCAAGAGAGAAGGCTGGGGCAGTCAGCATCCATAGATTTATAGACTTGGAAGCCCTCTTGGGCCAGCTCTACACTGTCCTAGAGGGTCACCATGAGTTGGAATCAACTCGACAGCTGTGAGATTTCTGATTACCAGGTGCCTGATGATTTCCCTTTATTAGCATCTATGTTTGTAAAGTCTGTGATGAACTTGGCCTGAAGCCAAGCTTGGGTCAACTTCACTGAGCTTGGGGCATAGGCAGCATGTGGGTTGTTGTTAAGTGCCATCGAGTCAGTTCCAACCCACAGTAATCTTATATAGGGTTTCCAAGGAGCAGCTGATGGATTTGAACCACCAACCATGTGGTTCAAATGGACCTTATGGTCCAGTGCATTATCCTGAAGCACTACACCAGGACTCCAGTGTGTGGGTTGTTGTTGTTTAGGTGCTGTTGAGTGGGTTCCTTCTCATAGTGTCCCCATGAACAACAGAACAAAACACTGCCCAGTCCTGTGCCAACCTCACAATCGTTGCTATGCTTGAGCCATTGCTGCTGCCACTGTACCAATCCATTTCATTAGGGGTCTTCCTCTACTTCGCTGATCCTCCACTTTACCAAAACATGATGTCCTCCTCCAGAGACTGGTCCCTTCTGATAATATCTTCGAAGTATGAGAAGTGATGTCTGATTGTCCTGGCTTTTAAGGAGCATTCTGGCTGTACTTCTTCCAACACAGATTGGTTGGTACTTTTGGCAGTCCATGGCACATTTAATATTCTCCTCCAACACCATAACTCAAACGCATCAATTCTTCTGTGGTCTTCCAGATTCATCGTCCAACTTTTACATGTATATGAGGTTATTGAAAATACCATGGTTTGGGTCAGGTGCACCTTAGTCCTCAAACTGACACCTTTGCTCTTGAACATTTTATGGAGGTCTTGTGCAGCAGATCTGCCTAATGCAACAAGCCGCTTGATTTCTTGACTACTGCTTCCATCACTGTTGATGGTTGATCTGAGCAAAATGAAATCTTACACAGCTTCAATCTTTTCTCCATTTACATGAGTGCTGTTTATTGGTCCAGCGGTGAGATTTTTGTTTTCTTTACGTTGAGGTGCAACCCGTATTGAAGGTTGTGGTCTTTTATCTGAATCAGTATTTTAAGCCCTCTTCACTTTCAGCAAGCAAGGTTGTTATCATCTTGTTGTATATCACAGGTTGTTAATGATTCTTCCTCCAATTCTGATGCCATGCTTTCCTTCATATAATCCAGTTTCTTGGATTATTTGCTCTGCATACAGATTGAATAAGTATGGCCAAAGAATACAACCCTGGTGCACACCTTTCCTAATTTTAAGCTATTCCGTGTTACCTTGTTCTGTTCGCACAACTGCCTCTTGGTCTATGTACAGGCTCCTCATGAGCACAATTAAGTGTTCTGGAATGCTCATTCTCTGCAATGTTATTCATAGCTTTTAACACAATTACCTGGCTATGTGTTAGGACACAGTGGGGAACAACCAGTGAAGAAAGGGTTGGAGTCGGCACTGTTTGCTCCAGGCTTCTGGCCTCCTGAAAGAGGAGGCTGAAGAGGCGAGGAGACGTTCAAGTTATCCTATTACCCTGGAGGAGGCTGAGAGTCAAGGATGTTTGCTAATGTGTTGTTCCTCCCAGATACTACCAGTAGGCTCCAAAGATGCTTCCTCCATCTTTGCCCTTTCTCATTCCTAGATTTGATCCAAATCTACTACTCTGTCCAGTTTGAGATGATGGGGGGCTTCTTGATGTTAGAATACATGCGTTTCGATCAGACTAAGGATAGGGACTGTTTCCTGTCTCTTTATTAAGGCCCCTACCAGACAGAAGCCTGCCTCCTTGGGTAGCGACTCTCAGACTAGAGGCTCCTTGTGGACAGGGGTTCTCTCTCTCTCAGTTGAAAGGGGGCTGCTTCAGGGTAGCATCCTCCTCATCTTCAACCCATGCTCAGCCAGGATCTGCAGGTTAGAAAATTCCAAGTCCTGTGGCTAGAAAACCCTCCAGATTCATTTCTCTCCCCCTCCAAACACTTTGGAGGCATCAGCTCACTCACCTTCACAGACCCCAGGGGGCCAGGCGGTTGCACTGGGGTTAATAAGCTTGAGCCCTTTTCTCTCCTTCTCCTCACCCCATTCAGGACCCACTCCAGCCCACATTCCCTCCCAGCCTCTAACCCAGAGACCAGCTTTTTAATTGCTTTCTCCAGTCTGCTATGCTCCTGGCTCCTCTCATCTCCCTGCCTGACTGCATCCCTCAGGGCGGGAGGGTGAGGGGCGGGCACCAGATGTGGCCCTGGCGGGAGGAAAGGGCTGCCAGGAGGCTTGTTATTTCCAATCCAGTGGTCCTCCAAATGGACAGGACGAGGCAGGGAGCAGCGTTGGGGGAGCTGCCGTGGGCTATGGGCTAGCCGAGGGGAGCCCTTGAGCCAAACTGACAACCACAGCCATGCCTATGCTTCCTGGGGTGACTGGGCCTCCGTCTCCTCACAGCCCCCACTTCAAATTCTTGTGGGTTCCTCTTCACAAAAGAACCAGGGAGGCATGAACTGGCTGGAAACCAGGATCTCCCAAACACATAGAGCAAGGGGACAGATGAGGAGGGGTCTGGCCAGCAGGGCTCCTTGGTTGCTGCCATAGAGGCTCCTCAGTGCCCGGTGAGGGACCAAATGAATGGCTACGTGTAGGGAGGGGGAATGCAGAGGAGATTTTGGATTACACTCAGGTGACAAGGACAGGTACCATCCCTGACCGCTTACATGGAGGGGAAATGTCTTGTTCTGTTTTCAGTTCCTGGTGCTGTGAACTAGACAGAGGCCTGTGCCAAGGGTGGGGGTCCAGGTATTTGCTGGGAGGTGGAGGCAAGCAAGGTGAGGTGGGCACATGATGACCTTCCCACAAGTCCCTCCTAGTTTCAGCATCTGCTAGGAGGCTCTTACGCCCACAGGACAAAGTCCAGGATGAGACAGGGAGAGGAGGGCCTAGGCCCACAGTGGATGGGAGCCATCGATCGCCATGTCTCACAGATGACTCTCTTTATGTAAGAACAATCCAATCTCAGTGCGTCACCGCCCACGGAGGTCAGCTGGGAGCTGGCTGTCAGCTTGATGCCCCCTCAGCCCCTGCCGGCTCCCTGTGAAGCTCGGGCCACTTAGGATAACTCCCTCCTGGCAAGGACGCTTCCCAGCATGCACTCTCAGCTGGACCCTGTGATTGAGGGCAGGAGCCACACGCGCTGTAGTCCATCAACTGTCTTTGTACATTTCATGGGTCACTCGAGAACACATTCTGGCCCACCAAGCCCCAATGTTTGCCAAGCGAATGGGCAGTGGAAGAACATCTTTGTCAAGCGTGACCTCTCCACTTGCCAGCCGCCCCAGCCCAAGCAGAGTCCACCTCATGCAATGAACCCTATGGTGCAGCTTGTACTCTGGCCCGTCTCCTTCGCCTTGCCCTGCCTTGCCTCTGCACTTGCAGGGGTGACTGTGATGATAAGAGGAGATAATGGATGTGAGGACTCCCAGAAAAGGAGTGCTTCCATTTGAACCAAGCAAACACTCCGTGGGGCCTTGTGAGGTCAGATACCACAGCAGGCACTGGGGGCTACAGACCTGAGGCTGGGACTGCTCGTGTGGGAATAACAGTGCACATGAGGGAAAACTCATTAAGACTAATTGGAGGGGAGGCCAGCCGGGCCTTGAAAAGAAGTGAAGTCAGCTGGCTTGCACAGGGCAGCAGCTTGGGGCAGCACAGAGCCAGGTCCTGACACGGCGGAATCTTGACTCTGCCACTTTCTGTCCAACTTTTTTGTGAGTCTTTCTGAGTTGCTTTCCTCATTCTCTACCTCAGAGGGTTTTGAAGTTTCCTGTCGCTGCCTGGCAGTGCTGGATGGGGAGGGGCTCACCAGGTAGAGTGGGGCTGCTCCCCAAGAACAGAGAATATCATTTGAAATTAACAGCATTATTTACACACTCCTCACAACGTGCTAAATACCATTAACGTATTTGTTTTCAGAAGCAAGTTAAACACAGACTCCTGTAATTTGTTTACACTATTAATTCATTCAGCCAACCATGTCTTCATGAAGAACAAGGGGAGATGTGGGTGGAAGTAGAAGCCAGGAGGAGCAGGCTGGAGTTGTTGAGATGGCAGGGTGGGAATGGGGAACAGATTGCCCTGGGCTCAAGCTGGCTGGAGCTTAGCTATAAGCCTCACCTCAGACCTGGACCACCAGACTCTCTGACTGGCAGCACGGCTCCTAGCAACCCATCCCCAAAATACAGAGGATGGAACAGACCTCAGGCATAATTGCTGCTTAACCACTGGGGAACAGGCACCTTAACAGAGGATTGGAGGTTTGGGGTGTGGAACATGGAGCACAGCTCTGAACTAAGGCTGAAGGAGGAAGCAGGATGGAAGTTGTTTCCTAAACTTAAAGAAGTTTCTTGAGGTTCTTCAAGCGTGGAAAGGTGAGAACAGGAAGGTGTTGCTACGTATACAGAGAGAAATCCACACTGAGGATGAAGACAGTTTATTAATTATAATGAAAATATCTGTCTCTAACTGGATGTATATATGTATGCATATATATGTAGATATAAATATGTATGTGTGTATGTACATACAATCTGCTTCTGTAAGATCACAGCCCAGAAACCCCCATGGAATGTAGTTCTAATCTATAACATGTGGGGTTACCATGAGACTGAATCGACTCAATAGCAACAGGTTTTAGATGTATGTTGTTGTTAAGTGATGTCGAGTAGGGTTTCCAAGGAGCAGCTGGTGAGCTTGAACCAGTTCAAACGACTTGGCAGTCTGATGCATTAACCCACAGTGCCACACTAGGACTCCTTTAGGCATATGAGGGGGCTTCAAAAAGTTCATGGAAAAATGGAATAAAGAGAGAATGAATTTTTTTCATGGGCTTTTTGAAGCCCCCTTGTATATAGTATACAAACACACACAAATCAAAGATCAAAAAGAAACAAATCCAACTGCAGGCAACAGTTGGTAGCATTAAGGCTGAATTTCCCTTTCTTCTTTCCACGTTTCTTTTACATTGAACATCTATCATGTTCATAATGAGATAAAAACAATGAAGCTATCTTTGGTTGGAAATCATATCATGATCATCATCTTCTGCATCATCACCAGATTGCAGCCTGGGTGGGGGGCAGTGGGGTTGAAGATACCCCCCTCTCAGAAATCAGGAAGTGTATTCCCATCCTCATCGCTCCTTCATTGGGCAGTGACCTATGTTAGCCCTTAGGCATGAGGGACAAAACAAATAGCCCCCAGTCTGCACAGAGTAGGGTGTTATAAACTAGGGGGCAAAAGTGGCAGTGCCCTTTAAAATAGCAACACATTAACACTCACAATTGAAGCTATATACACTGAGAAGCTGGGTGTAACAGGAGATTAACAGCGAAGGTGAGTAGCAGAAAGAATGGCTGGGGGCTGGGTGTTAATGAAGGAAGCAGCGGCTGCATTCATTGCTAGGAGCTGGGGGAGGCAGGCATAGGAAGCTCAGGAACCAAGAGGGGGCAGCCAGCTGAGGGGCCCTTGGGTCAGGCCACCTTGGTGATGCAGCTCCCAGCTGACAGGGTTTCCCCAACACCCACTAATTCCTTCTGGCTCCTCTGGGGACTGGAGGGGCGCTCTGCAGACCAGTTGGGTGCAGGGAGAGCAGAGAGAAAGGGCAAAAGTGAGACTCTGTCTCTTTGGGCTTCTTTCTTTACCCCGCCTCCCACTCATCAGGGTCCCTGAGATGTTTAGAGGAACTCCAGACTTTCCTCTTGGTCCACCTTGCCTGCCCCCATTTTCTATCTTCATCTGCTACCAGGGCCCCAGATTCTCCCTGTCCCCAAGGCCAGTCACCTGGGATTGCGAAGGGCCCAGCTGGCCTTTTCAAGGTGCTGCTGGGGAGACGGGCAATACGGCTTCGGCTTCGGCCCCGGGCCACTCCCAGGGAGCAGGAGACTGAAGAGCTGTGGGAGAGAAGCAGGGAAGGATACAGCTCTGCCTATGGACTTGGAGGGTGGGCTAGGCTAAGCTAGACACTAAGACTTGAGAACAGATGGTGCTTCCAAGGCCAGATCTGAGGGAAGGAGACGTAGCATGGGGGAGATTCGTGGGGGTTAGGACATAGGAGGGAAGGTGTGGGGCGGGTAGTCCAATCACTGGATTAACAATGAACCCTGCCTGAATGTCTCCCTCATGGAACCTCCAGCAGAGGACCAGCTGCCGGCCCTGCTCATAGGCTTCAACCAGCAGTGGGCCCAGGTGTCCACTGATCTTTCCCTCCCCCTACACCTCCCAAAGCTCACCTCCCAAGGCATCTCCTCTTGAAGGCTGAGGTCCCAGGGAGGGAAGACGTTGGCTTGGGACCCTTGGTGGTGAACAGGAACACAGGTCCACTGGCAGAGGGAGGGAGAAGGGAGTAAGTAGATCAGGAGGGGACAAGAAAGTGAAGTCAGCCACTTCCTCCCTCCAGTCCCCAGCTCGGGGGCGAGGAGACTGTACAAGATGACCTCTGAGGCTTCTTCCTACTTCAGAGGTGGACTCTGTTCCCTGCCTCCCTCGATCTAGGCTGACAGTTGAGTGACAGGCCCGTTCTGGGAGAATCTCCAGATGTCAGTGTCTGGTGCGTCCAGGGAACCAGAGTTCAAACAATTTCACCCTTCCACCTGCCCAGCTCAGAGTTTGTTATTGAGAGGTATTTTGGGGTCTCTGGGAGGGGTGGCAACAAGTAGCTGGCCAGCCTCTGCCTTGAAGTCAGTTGATCTGCCACTTGCTCTCAGTCTGTCCTGAGCTGGTGGCTTTTCCAGTCATGTGGGTGGAGCCTGAGAGCAACAGCATCATCTACTCACTGAAAATACCTCTGAGTAAGGTTTTCTGAGGACCCTCTTCCCAGTGCCAGCTGCTGGTCTGGCGGGAAAACTCTGGTGGTGGTTGTGGAGGAAACAACTATTTCCCAGTGGAACTCAGAACTCATGCAGAGAAATAGAGAGTGTTGGGTTCCCCCTCTTAGTCACTGTCCCCTGCAGACTCTTCCCAAGCTAGGGTTCCATTACCTACTCATGGGAAGACCACAACCAGCAGACACTGTGGGCCTTGAAGGAGGGCAGACAAAGCAGGACCCCCACAAGAAAGGACACCTCCGTGGGAACTGTGTATACTGCTCTAATGGTCTGGGGGACAGAGCTGATGCCCTGCTTCCACAACGACGGCCAGCACCACTGTCTGTTGCTGACCTCTGGCCCACTGCTGGGAGGCTTGGAAGGGAGACCTACCTGGGGACGAAGGGCTGCTCCAGACTGGTCAGCTCCTGGGGGACATTCTCCCAGTTAAGACATTCACTGAAACCAAACTTGCAGAGGGGCTCCTCGGAGAGATCAAAGGTGGCATTGAGATCACGAGCTGGAGGGGCCAGAGGGGTGGAGCAGTTCTGCAGGGCGGAAGGGCCCAAGGGTACCCGGCTTTTGATGACTGTGGCTGGGCAGAAATGAGGGGAATGACAGGGAGAAGAGGTCCTTCCCCGCTTGGGGGTGTGGGGGTCATGTGCTGGCTGGGCCTCAGGCAAAGAGCCCCTCTCCAGGGAGGGCAGGAAGGACTGACGCTGGCGCTTGGTTCTCAGCTTTGGGACTGGAGAGCTGTCTGGTTCCAAGGGACTCAGTCTCCTCCTCCTCTTCTTTTTTGGGGGCAGCTGGGATGCCTGGGTTGGGGTGTAGTCAGGCCTGGCTGGGATCCCCAGAGTGGGCATGAGGCCACTCAACTGCTTTGCCATGGTTCGGGTCACAGGGCCAGAGTATCCTGGAGACTCTGGGCAGAGAGAAGCAACATGCTGAAGGAGCCTGGGGCCAGCCAGAGGGGAGGAGGGCGCTGCTGGGAGACCAAGGATGGCCAGAGGGGAGGAGGATTTATACACTTTGTGAAGTGACATTTGTAGAATTTGGGAAGGATGAAGAAGCCCCTAAATCCTCAGGTCCATCACAACTCTACGTTCCACTAGCCTCCTGGTTCTGCCCCCCCGCGCCCCCCCCCGCTGTCTTGGAGGTGTACTGATAAACGTACTTGACTCTGAACACCGCTCCTGGGTCAGAGGTGCCCCCTTGGCCAGGCCAGGAGTCCTGGAAGCCTCCACTCCAGACTCAGTATCTTCCTCCTGCACCAGCTGCTGTAGGGCCTCGAATTCTGCAATCATGTCCGGGGTCAAGAGGTTGGCTGCTTGGAGCAAGGAGTACTGCCGCTGGGCCAGGCACAACACCTTGTGGGTCAACCTGGAACGGAAAGAAGAGGACCCGTGTGCCTCTCCATCACTCCAGGTGGGGTGAAGAACATAGGTGGCCTGGCCGCACGGCTCCCTGCTGCCAGAGGTGGTCAAAGGTGATGGTAGGAGGCTTCACCCACTAATCATGCCACACAACAAAGTCAGTGACTGGGGAGGTAGGAGAAGAGAGTCAGTGGCCTTGCATTTAGAAGGCCTGAGTTTCCTTTTGCTCTAAGATCATGTTGTTGTTGTTATGTGCCGTCGAGTCGGTTCCGACCCATAGCGACCCTGTACAGGGTTTCCGAGGCTGTAAATCTTTATGGGAGCAGAAAGCCTCCTCTCTCCCCCGTGGAGCGGCTGGTAGTTTTGAACTGCTGACCTTAAGGTTCGCAGCCCGATTCGTAACCACTACGCTACCAGAGCTCCTTGTACCCAGGGGCAAAACAAGGTAACACTGAAGAGTCCATGTTCCAGTCAGACTGCCCGTGTTCACATCCTGTCTCCAACACTTTCCAGCTATGTGATTCTGGATACATTCCTTAACCATAGTCTCCATACCCTTACAAGGGGGATAGTAAATGCGCCTACCTCATAGGGTTGTTGGGAAGATGAAATGAATGCCTTTTATACCAAGTGTTTTACACAGTGCCTGGCACATAGTAACAAGGGCTGTGCTGTCTGTAGTTGCTCCTGAGTAAATTCAGAGACGTGCCCCCATAGGCTATGGGGCAGAACTGCTCTGTGGAGTGTTTTTGGCTTTATGGGGCAGTACTCCGAGCTTTTTTCTGTGGTGCTTCTTGGTGGGTTCAAACCATCAACCTTTGGGTTAGTAGTTGACTGTAAACTGCCTGGGCCACCCAGGCTCTTAAGCACTGTTAACCCAAACCCACTGCCTTCGAATCAATTCCAACCCCCCAGTGACTCTGTACAGGGATTCCAAGGCTGTAAAATGTTACGGGAGCAGAGAGCCTCATCTTTCTCCCATTAAGCACCTGGTGGGTTTCAACTGCTAACCTTGAGATTAGCAGTCCAGTGCTTATCCAACAGTCTTACCAGGGACCTCCTTAAGCACTATAAAGTTAGCTAAATTATTGTTTTTGTAACATGGAAATAATACCATCTATTTTGTTAGGGTTTTGGGGTTGGCTGCGGTTCAAACCCACCAAATATTCCTCAGGGTCACTATGAGTTGGAGCTAACTCCAAGGCACTTAACAACAACTTTGTTGATATAAGAGATGAAATAAGACTATTGTTGTAGTTAGGTGCCATCCAGTTGGTGCTAACTTATGGTGACCCTGTACACAACAGAACAAAACCCTACCCAGTCCTGTGCCAGTCTCAGAAATTGTTAGATCTGAGCCCACTGTTATTGCCACTGCATCAACCATCTCATTGGGGTCGTCCTCTTTTTCACTGAACCTCCATTAATGAAGTATGATGTCCTTCTCCAGGGAAAATAAGATAGGCTACATTGATCTTGGTTCTGAGAAGATGCTCGTTAATGCTCTCAGTCAGAGCTTCCTATTGAGTAGGTGGGTTCCTGAAGAAGTAGGTGTGAATTAACACATACTTCACATGCACTGGAAAGCAGCTATTTAATCAGTCCTGGTGGTGAAGCATTCGACTGCTAACAAAGGTCAGCCGACTGAGCCCACCACCAGCTCTTTTGGAGACAGATGTGGCAGTCTGTTACTGTAAAGATTACAACCTTGGAAACCCTATGAGGTCACTTCTACTTCTGTCCTATAAGGTCGCTGTGAGTCACAATCGACTTGACAGCTATGCGTTTGGTTTTTGATTTGGAGAGCTACTTAAAGGAAATGATGAGTGTAATGTGATTATTGATGTAAATTTAGATTCTAATAAAGCAAATGCTCTTTCCGTAAGGCACACCTATGATAAAAGAATAACCCAATTATCTCAGTGGGGATTATTCATGGCAAATAATTTATCCTTAGGTAGCTCCAGCAGCCGGGACATTTACGAAGCCCCTCCGCTGCCCTCAGTGTGTGCTCAGAGAACCTAAACTCATTTTACAAAGCAGCCTCAAGGCCTTTTTCAAAGAAGGCAGGATACAAATGAAAAAGGAAACAAAGAAACAAACTCATTCTGTATCCACCTGAACCACACATGATAAGGAAGATTCTGTTACTGAGTGTTTGGAGAAAAAAAAGCATTGGCCTGGATGTCATATGGCTCGGGACTGACCCTGTCCCCTCTTGCTGTGGGACCTGGGGCAAATGCCTCAGTACCCAGTATGACAAACAGAGAGCTGATCGTAATCAGGGGTTTTCAAATTAGATTTAGAAAACACCGCAAACAGCAGTCCTGGTTTTGTCTGCTCTACGTTGGACTTCACCGCAGATTTCATCTGAGGAAAGGACTGTACAGTTAAAAAAAATTCTGAAAAATCACTGAACTGGAAAATCTAAGATCTACTCAGTGCCCTGGTGGTCTAAGATTCTAAGTTCAAAGCCAAAGAGAAATTGCTGATTGCTAGAGGGTTTCCAAATATGGAGACGATCTAGAATGTTCCACAGCCCCTCTGGTACTTGGCTACTGTTGTACTTTGCTCCATTTAATTCATATATCCTTTAACCTGGTGACGCAGGGAGAACAAGGACTAGGATCCTTATATCATAGCCAAGGATGACATAACTTGTCGTAGAGGGGATCACGAAACCACACTGAGTCAAAGCACCTGGTGTCCTGTCTCCTCACAGTGAGGGGGGTGGGGGAGTGGGGGAGACACCCAGCAGAGACCCTGAGTCATCAGAGGGAGCCTGTGGTGCCCCCTAGGGGCTGAGGGGACATCCCACCTGTGCATCCCTGTCTCAGGGCCTGGGAAGCCAGCAGCAGGAGACAGATAATGAGCTGCTGATTATTCAGGCTGCAGCGATTTTGCTGAGTCGGGAACAGGCACTCCCCAACAAGAAATAAAATTAAACAGGCCCGTCTGTCCGGAAGCTTTAAATACACTGCCTAGCATGAAGCGTGCTGAGGAGGGAGAAGTGGGGTTGGCAGTAGCAAAGCTAAGTGGCAGGGGATTTATGTACTGGGGGCCAAGAAAAAAATACTAGCAGCACTTCTCCATTAAGCACAGAAATATTAGTCCAAAATCCATTGCTCCTTGGCTTTGGGTGGTGGCTCCTATTTACTTCTGAGAAGAAATAGTTGCAGTAAGTCTGTGGATGGAGACGTAGAAATCCCTGCCTCAGGAAGGCTGCCCCTTCCCCAGCCTAATGCTCAACTTCTCTTGGCTGCTCTCATCTTGCTAAGGATGAGCAGCTTTGCCACCAGACTGGAAAGCAAAGCGCAAGCCCAAGCAACCCTGCTCTAGCTTGACGCTTGCCATCTCTCTGGACAGATTTTGGTATTTAGCTTCCTTCTCCTGTTGGGCTGCCAACTATGTGGAGGAATTAGTGGAATTGCTAGAATCCAGGAGTTGAAAACAGGTTAAGGGACAATGTTGAGGAACAGAGACTGGGCTGCCAACTGGGGCCAAAGCAGGGCTTCTGTGATACACAGAGCTCCCACCCAGGAGGCCGTGCAAGGCTGAGCCCCATTACCTCCCATCCTGGACTCAGACAATAACAAGAAGATACATACTGCTTAGAGTGATCCCTGTCCTTGACTGGCTTGGGCTGTAGGCGCAGGCCAGAGGACCCTGGAGCTGGGTTTCTGGGGCTCTGCACTGGCATGGCGACTGGAACCTAGGAAGAAAGGAAGAGTCACAGGAAAAAGCCCTCCCGCCCCTTCACTAACAAGGAGCTCTGGTAGCGTAGGGGGTTGAGTTAGGCTGCTAACCACAAGGTCAGCAGTTCGAAACTACCAGCTGCTCAGCAGGAGAAAGGTGAGGCTTTCTGCTCCCATAAAGATTTACAGCCTCGGAAACCCTGTACAGGGTCACTCGCTGTGAGTCACCACCACCCTTCATGCTGTTGGCTGCTGTCCAGTTCAGTCTGGACTCATCGTGATTCCATGCCCCAGCTGCCTGGTCCTGCACCATCGCCATCAATTGCAGACCCATAGGGTGTTTGACTGACTGATTTTTGGAAGTAGATTACCAGGCCTTTCTTCCTAGTCTATCCTAGTCTGGAAGCTCTGCTGAAACCGACTCAGCCTCAGAGCAACATGCAACCTCCACTGACAGGGTGGTGGCTGCATGAGGTGCACTGATTGGGAATTGAACCCAAGCCTCCTTCACTGAGGGTGAGAATTCTACCACTGTACCCCCAATGGCCTCCTTTATTTATCTGTTACTTATTGTGGCACTGTGGGATAGGCTTGAACCACAAGGGTGGCGGTTTAAACTCACCAGCCACTCCTTGGAAACCCTATACTGGGTCGCTATGAGTCAGAACCGACTCGACTCTATGGCACTCAACAACACACAGCTCCTAAGATCTTCCCCTCTTCCCAGAGGGTTTCCTAGAATGGCTTTCTTCCTCTCCCAGTCTCCTCCAGCCCCCTCCCTACTTCCCTTCCAGGAACACAGAGGCTCTTCACTTCCAAACATACAAGGATCTGAGAGAACATTTCTCCTTCCTGCGGGTCTCTGAAGGCCTCCTAGTGACTAGTGACTAAGAAGTAAGACATCCAAGGACTGAAGGGACTTGGAGCAGAAACAGCAATTTCTCTCAATATCCTACCAGCTCTAAGCCTTCCCTGTGCCCAGGCCTCATGTCCCCATGTCCTACCTCCTTGGCTGGGCCTTCATTCTTTTCCTCTGGGGGTTGCTCCTGGTCTGGGGACTTCCCTACCCCAGGCCTTTCCTCCTGGGGCTCCGTTTCCAAGTTCTCCTGAAGGACTCCAGATCCTGGCGGGGGCTCTGGGGTACGGTGCTGGCTGGGAAGGCAGGGCGCTGATGGGGAGCCAGGAAGACTAAAGAGAAATGAAGGAGAGAAGTAGGGTGTGACGGCAGGTGGAGAAAGCAGGGAGGGGCAGGGCGGGGTCTCCACGGCACTCGGGTGATATAGAACCTACAAGGGACAGGGCTTGCACACCAGATGGACATTAGCCAAGTGGGAGGGAAAGAGTCAGGGGTTTTCTGGTTTAGGTAACAGTGGCATCCAACCCCTAACTTCACCCTCTCTTGGATGGTAGGAATGCTCAGGTGGGCTGCAGTGGGGTGTCACTTCCTCATTTGAGCAAATTCTAGGTGACAGAGTGCTGGTCACTCGGTGTAGAAACAGAAGCAGAGTCCTAGCCCCCCAGAGCTAGAGGATGGGTGCCTCCCCATCTTAAATGGCAAGCTGAAGCGGGGGGCAGGAAAGTGCAGTAGAACTCACTGTGGTTGTGGCAGGGCCAATTTGGGGGATACTGGCAGCTCCTGGGGTGGAGCCTGGGCTCCCGCCTCATACACTTGCAGCTTCTCCCTCAGAGCAGCCACCTGGAACCCAAGCAACCCAGTCCCTCAGAGCCCTTAAGTGAGGTGGGAGGAGAGGGGAGGGCCCAGAGCCCTGGCCACATCCTGGAGCTCCCGTCTCTCACTCCTCCCATCCGAGCCTGGGTGCCCTGTCTCCCAGTCAGGCTCCTGGCCGGCTACTCACCTCAGCCTGAAGTTGTTGGCAGATGGTGGCGTACTGGCTGATGTGACAGTCCAGGCTGACCACATTGCTTTTCAGCTGGGATAGGGGCACAGGGGAGAGATTTGTGTGTTCAGTCCAAGCAGCTTTATCAACTGCCTCCAACAGTCAGACGCTGCACCTGGCACCTTATTCACAGTGGCAGAAGATGTTTTGAACCCCAGACCCCTGATGGACAATTCTCACTATTGGGTTTTTGATAGCAGCTTCAGGAGGACAAGGGCCCCCTAGAAATGGGGTAGGGAGTCCAGTGCAAATTGGCTTTTCATCTGTTTTCTATACTGGTGTTTGCTGAAAATATGGTTCTGGTGCTAAAAACAAGTCTGAAGGAAAAATCACTGGATGTCCCCACTACAGTTACCTCACAGTGTGTATGTAACAGTCTAACCCAGAGTCTGTGTGAGTCTTGGAGACTGTGCCCCGCTTCTCTCCCCACTGGAAGTTTCTCAAGGGTGGGGACCAATGTTGTTTCTATCACAGACAGCTTCATAAAGACGGAGGCTGGGAAATCTCTTTCCTCTGCATTGGGAAACCCTGGGCCCTGGCATCTGAGGAAGCCAGCTGGGCCCTTTCCCCACACAAGTTAAGATGTCGCCTACCAACACACACCGAGAGTTTGATCTCCTTGGCCCGGTCGGCATACTTGAGGGTATTATAAGTGTCTTCATAGGTCAGGCTAGAGGGGCTGACGGCAGCTATCATCACTGTGCGGCAGTTGCCGCCGATGGAGTCCTTGAGCAGGCGAGTCAGCTTGCTATCCCGGTAGGGCACGTGAGATTTACGACCCTGTAGGACAGTGAACAGGTGATGGGTGAGGTTGCTGGGTTAGATGGGCCCAGGGAAGGATCTCTGGAGAGAAGTCAGATCTGTGCAGAGGTACCTTCGCATCGGCCAGGGCGTTGAGGACGTTGATGAGCGCTAGCAGAGAACGGTTAATGTTGGCGCCCTCCCGTAGCCGCTCCCCCTTGGCATGGGTGCTGGACGCCCGTTCCGAGCCAGCCAGGTCAATCAGGCTCATCTTGGCCACCTGAAAGGCCTGGGTCAGTCCTGGAACCCGGTCCTGCTGCTTCACGAAGATCTGGAAGCAGGCGGAAGAAGTGGGTAGGGAGCTACAGCATCAGCAGGCCCTGTGTCCAGGCTCTCACCTGTGACCCCTCTCACCTGGAAGATGGCATGGGAGCGGGAGGAAGTCGCATTGGCGTCTGTGGGGTGCTGTGTGCGGTTACGGTTCCCCCTGGTCAGCATCTCCAGCAGCTGCTCAGCTGACGTTGGCTACAGAGATGTCCAGAAAGGGGACTCTGGTCTCCCCGACCCAGGCCCTTGTTCCTAACAGGAAGGGCTGCTCTACAGAACCAAAGACACCCCCGAACTGCCACCACCACCACCACAGGCCCAGGGCACCCCCAAACTGCCTTGAGAGGAAACCCAATGGGAATGCCTGTCCCACCGGAACTCAATCCCACACCTGGTGGAAGGAAAGGCCTTGCACCACCACCCCCTTGTCGGGGTCCTCACGGATGGCAAGGGGCCCCTTCGGCTCCAGGAGGTCATGGATCTGCTCATTGTACACCTGAGGAGGAAGGATGCAAGGAGAGACCTGAAGCTGGGGGGCTACCTGGAAACCTCTCTCTAGAGGCCAGTCGGGGGGCTGTGTGCTAGGGGGCGGGAAGCCGATGAGCAGACTGGTATTTGTGACAGCTTCTCCCCAGTGGCACTTGGTGAAGAACAGGCAGGTGTCTCCCTGAGCAGCCTCTCTCTCATTTGGCCCCAAACCATCTACTTGCTATCTTCCTTGCCTCCTCTCACTGCCCCCTGCTCACTCCGCCTCCCTCCCTCTTTAGGGGGCTGTGAAGGTGAAGGAGGGTCATCAGCCTTACCTCCTGGTAACTGATGAGCACCTCAAACCGCTTCTCCTCCTGGCGGGCCTCAAGACGTCGGTACAACTCCATGGTGGTCAGGTACATGATGCCGGGGTCCCCCTCTCGGCCGAGCATGGTGTGTGTCTTTCCAGCCCCAGTGGCTCCATAGGCGAACACTGGAGAGGACAGAGCGGGGATGGGGTTAGTGATGGGGCCAGATCTCCCATCTCTAGCGTCTTCCGCAGTTCATTCCCATCGGCTCAGCCCTTCCTTCCTCCCCTAGGCCTTTCTTTGGGTTTCAATACTTGCATCCCCCCAAGTTTGTGCTGCAGCAGGTATGAGGGCTCCACATGTCTGTCCTGGTCCTTAATAGGTTTGTGAAGTCCAGGGGAGAGGGTTCCCCATGGCTCGTGGGGACTTATCTCTTTCACAGTGAAGCCTTCTCCAGTCTGGATCAACTTCTTCTACTGAAGACTCACAGTTTGTAACCCCTTGTTGGTAGGATTTTGTGATTTGCGTCTTCTGCCGCCTCTAGACTGTAAGCACCATGAGGGCAGAACCATGTCTGCTGGGTCTGCTATTGTGTCCTCAGGGCTTGGGACAACGCCTTGCACAAGGCATGAAAGGGCTGAAGGCCCCTGCAACAAGTCCTACCCAGTGAGGGGAAGGCGTTCACATGTCAGGAGTCATCAACCATAGAGAACCCCTAGAAGAGAGCAGGGACACCAGGTCCCTGCCCAGTTCTCACCTGAGCAGTTGTAGCCCTGGAGGAAGCCATCCAGGATGCTGTGGGTGGTGTACTGGAACACATCCTGTTGGGTGGCCACCTCACCGAAGACCCGGTCAAAGGCAAACTTCAGGTCTTTGCCCTTCTTCTTGGGACCATCATGGGTGTTGCCCCATTTCAGACCAGGAAATCCCCCATCAGGCTCCTCGGGGTCGAACACAAGCACCCGCTCGTCCACCACCTGAACCACAGGCCGCCGTTGACTCTCTAACTCCCGTGAGGTGGGAGGTCGTACACGCACCACCACCTGCACCATGCTGTCCTCCACCGCCATCACCATGGCAACACCTGGGCAGAGACACAATGGTGATGAGGACCTAGTGGACCCCAGGACTGACCAGGTGCCCCTCAGTCTAGTGCTCAAGGGCCTCCACCCAAGTCCTCTCCAGCAGCTGATCTCAATTTCAATACCTCAAGAGAAAACCCACCAACACCACTGACTGGCTATGTGACCCTGGGCCAGGACCCCTGGCCCCTAGGTCTGTTACTTTACTTGAAGGATAACAGCACCTAAACCATCAGCATGCTGTAAGGAAGGACTGAGTGAGGACTGCTGAGTGACAACGAAGACTTGCTTCTCTTGAGTTGTTGACAGCAATCAGATAGGACACTGTAGCTTGAAGACTTAGGCTCTTTCTTGTCCTTCGTTATATCCTTCTTAATTTATCTAAAATGTGATTAATCCTGACTATGAAGTATCATTAATCTTCCCCAAATTTAATTTCTAATTATACTCTTATTAATATGTTATTCTTGTCACAAAATTTCTAACAATAAAAATAAAGTGGAAGCCTCCTTCATCACCCAGCCTTACCAGAGGTTATCACTCCTGGTAGTTTTGTGAGTCTCCTGCTAGTCTCCATACACCATATTTTTGTTAGTTGCCGCTCAGTAGGCTCTAACGCATGGTGGCCATGCACCACATACTGAAACACTGCTCAGTACTGATCCGTTGTTATAACCAATCATTGGTATGCTCAAGGCCACTGTGTATTTTGAGAGCCTTCCAACCTAGGGGGCTCATCTTCTAACACTATATTGGGTGATATTCTGTTGTGATCCATAGAGTTTTCACTGGCTAATTTTCTGTAGATTGCCAGACCTTTCTTCCTGGTCTTAGTCTGAGAGTTCTGCTGAAACCTGTCCACCATGGGTGACCCCACTGGTATTTCAAATACCAGTGACATATTGCCCTGCATTATAACAACATGGAAGTCACCACAGTACAACAAACTGACAGACTGGTAGAGGGCCATTCATTTACACACATATTTGTATATAAGTCACTATAGCTTTGGTGTTTTACAGCCATGGTATTGTACTGCAGATTGCTTTACAACTTGCTTTGTGCATCGTGGAGATACATTTATCTTATTCTTTCTAGCTCTCTTATTCTATGATATGGATTTTCAACATTTTTTTTTAATGTTGTAAAAATACTTAAGATAACATTTGCCAATTCAACATTTTTCTCATGTACACAATTCAGTGACACCAATTACATCAATCATATTATGCAAACATCGCCAATATCGATCGCCACGGATGCTTCATTTTAAATGCTCTAATTTGGAGTCTTGGTATGACACTGCAGACTAAGCATTGGACCACAAGGTCGGTTTGAACCACAAAGTCGGCAGTTCAAACTCACCAGCCGCTCCTCGGAAATCCTTCACAGGGCCACTAAGAGTCGGAACTCGAAAGCACTTAACAATAATTTAATTATTGTCCTATTGACTGATAGATGTTACTTCAAATACTTCATATATACAACAATGCTGCAGAAACATTGTTTTCATGGCCCCTTTGAATACAAGCAAGAGGCTCTCTCTCTCTCACGGACATTACTAGGAAGTGAACCTGCTATGCCAAATGTGGGAACAATTTTATTTTAGAAAAGATTGACAAATTGTTCTCCAGAAAGGGTGTACTTTTATTTACACCACTACTAATAGGAGTCCTGGTGTGGTGCCGTAGGATAAAACACTGGGCTGCAAGGTCAGAGGTTCACACTCACACGCTGCTCCTTGGAAACCCTATACAGGCTCGCTAGGAGTTGGAACCAACTCAATAGCACTTAACTACAACAGCATACACGAGTATCCATTTCTTTACACCCTTACCAGCAATGGACCATTTTAATTTCTGGTCAATCTGACGATATCTCATTATTGTTTTAATTTGCATTTCCTCAATTATAAGCAAGATTAAGCATTTGTATTGCTTTCTCTCTGAACTGTATGTCTTATTTGCTCATATTTTTCTGGGCTGGTTGTCCTTTTGTTAGAAATTTATAAGAGCTTTGGACATTATTAAACACTATATTATAAATATTTTTTCCCAATTTATCATTTGTCAGTTGGTTTTGTCTATGACATCTTTGCCTTACAAAATGTTTATATACTTAAAGAGGCAAAGATGTCAATTTTTTCTTTTAGAGGTTGAGGATTTTCTACCTTCATTAAAAAGGTCTCTAACCCTTGGGCTGAACAGAGTCTCTTAAGTTTTCTAAGCTTTGTTGTTGTTATTTTTAATTTAAAATGTTAAGCTCTCTGGAACTGCTGTTTTAATATGGAATAAGGTAAGTATATAACTTTATTTTCTCCCAGACAGAGAGCTAGTGTCAGTACCACTTATTAATATCCTTTTCTCACTTGATAAATGTCACTTTTGTCATATCCAAATTATTCTATTTTCTGAATTCTTTTACTGAGCTTTCTTTTACATTTCACTAAGCTATGCCAACCCCATACTGCTTCCATTATGTTACTTTACACTACGCGTGCTAGCTACTAAGGCAAGACCCCCTCATTAGTCTTCTGTTTCATAATTTTCTTGGCTATTTTAAGGCATGTGTTATTCTATTTGACTTTATCATTTCCAACCCAATCCTAGAACCTACTGCCCCCACAAAACACTGTTGGAATTCCAACTGGAATCACATTCAATTTATATATTTATTTAACTATATTAAACCTTCTAATTCAACAATGTGGCTCTGGCTTTTCTATTTGTTCAGTTATCTTTTATGCCCATCAATAAGATTTTACAGTTTTCTATCTCTTCAGATAGATTCTGTAATTTCCTTTTAATGTAATTCTCAAGTGTTTTATGTTTACGGACTTAATGGCTCTTCTGAATGGATCATCTTCCCTCATTTTCACTTCCGGCTGGTAACTGCTACTCTAAAGAAACAGGATTGATTTTTAGACACTTGTCTTATATCCATCACCCTCTCCAAACACTTATTAATTGATTGTCTAAATAGAGCTTATTGAACACTTTAAGAATATTACGTGAAAAAAAAATTTTTTTGCCTTTTCTTCTTTATATTCATATGAAACAACACTTCATTTCTTATATTATTATAGTCTCTAGAACTTCCAAACAATGTTAAATAATATTGATGACAATGGGTATCATTGTCTCATTTCTGATTTTAATAGTAATGACTTTGTTCTTATTTGTTGCTAGGTATCTTTAAGTTGGTACTGACTCATAGTGACCCTATGCATACCAGAATGAAACCCTGCCCAGTCTTGTGCCAACCTCACGGTCGTTGCTATGCTTGAGCCCACTGTAACGACATTAGCATTTTACTATTTACCATTTAGAAATGAGTTTCTGGACATGTAGTCCTGTCATAATAATTTCTTCAATTTCTACTTAGCATCATTAATGTCTCAAATTTTATCTAATGCTTTTTCATCATCTTTTGATATATTTATGTGTTTTTTCCTCTTATTTTGTTGATCTGATAAAATTGTGGTATTATTCCTGGTATAAGACCAACCATACATTCCTAGAAGAAAAGATCTGTCCTAGCCATGTGAAGTTTTCAATTTTGAAATGTTCAAATTTGTCAATCTTTTCTGTTATGGCTTTTAAGTCTTACTTAAGAAGATACTCCTTCTCCAAGGTACAGAAAGGCTTTTCTTACATTTCCATGTAATATTCCGTCTTTCTCACATTGATGTCTTCATTCAGATGGAATATACATTTTTGTCAAAGGTTTCTAAACACCTTCTCTTTCCAAATGGTAATCAATTATATCAAGATCATTTACCAAATAGTGAATTTTTTTATTCAACAATTTGAAATGCCACATTCAACATTAAGTACATTTTTATACAGACATGAATATGTTCCTGACTCCCCATTCTGTACTACTGGTCTGCCTAGTCCTTTTCCAGGACTTCACTGTGGTAATTAATATTGTTTTAAACTAAACTATTATATTAATTCAAAAGAATAACACAATATTTGACTGACTGCTTAATGAATACAAGTTTCCATAGTGATGGAGTTTCATGGTTACTGAGTTCACATTATAAAGACGCAGAAAATTTTGGCCCTTTACCCATTGTTAGTTATGAGACCTCTTGATATTAAAATTTGGAAAAGCTCAGAATCTTTTTCATTAAGTCACAGATAATTAATAACTTTGTTATCGAATAGTCTTTGAACATGGAAAAAAAGTTTCTGCAACTTTGAGTGAGAAAACAAAACAAAACAAAGCAAAAACAGGCCAGCAAAGCCCACTGGCAAGAAAATTCTGGGTCAGGAATTTTTAGGTTCGCGGACAAAAAAAGTCTCTTGAAGTAAAAATAAAATGTTTTCAATCAAGGTTTTACTCCACAATCTCTCGCCGTCTGATCATGATTCAATCAGAATCTTGAATCCCTGTTTATCCATCAACATACTGCCCTTCTTGACTATTCTTGGGCAACTTGTCTCATATGCTCTTCTATGCTTATGAGGCTCTGTGGAAAATTCTGCTGAGATTTGAATTGGGATCATTTTGAATTTACAGATTTACATCAGAAGAATTGGCATCTTAGAATATCAAGACTTTTCATCTAGGAACATAGTATCTTTTTCTATTTATTCACATCTTTCTAATATTCATAAAACTTTTCATTTTTCTCACATGGGTTTTATATATTTCTTGATGGGTTTATTACTACTTATTTTACAATCTTTGTCATATTGTGAATTGGCTTTTGTTTGAAATTACATTTTCTAATTCATTTTTGGAGTCCTGGTGTGATGCTGTAATACTGGACTGTTAACTGCAAGGTTGGAGGTTCAAAGCCAACAGTTCCTCCTCAGAAATTCTACACAGGGTTACTATGAGCCAGAACTGACTGGGTGGCACTTAATAACAACAACAATAGGAAAACTACTAATTTCAGTATGCTGATCTTATATCTGGCCATATTACTGAACTCTCTTATTAGTTCTGATAGCTTGCCATTGATTTGCTTAGACTTT